CTCACATCAGACATCACACAGGCTTCGTCTAATCCGAGTTTATCAGGCCAGGCCTCCTGCGTGCTCAAAAAACGAGGAGAATCCTGCCTCCGTGTCATTACAAGACGAAAGCAGAGTGCTCAGGACTCCTGTGGTTTGGACCGGCTGATTTGAGTATATGGGTTGTATTCACCCTAACTGAAAACATCAGCTCTACTCATGTCATTTTTGGAAAATTTTAATACCCGTCCATTGTCACCTTAAGCAAAATAGAGTGAATACATCTCATATAATTGACCTACTGTTAGTCTTTAGACACTACTTATAAATGAATTGAGTATGTTCATGCAGTTTTTGGTAACTACTCCTTCCGTTCCGATGGCAAAGTGAAGAGCTTCCGTCTGTCGTCTCACAGACTTCCTAAATGCTATTGATTATTCTGATACCCATGTGAAGTTGACACTAAGGAGGACTAACCGACCAACGCATATGACTATGCCCAATGAGACACAGATCCTTTCCTTGCTTTTGGAGCTAGCTTCGAGACCCTTTTCTGTTCCCCCAACTTCCTCCGAGTAAAGCATCGGACAACCAAAACCAAAGAACCTAGTGTCTAAGGATAACGCTTTGGATATTGTCTGATTCTTGGATAAAGGAAAACTGTTTCTGTTTTGCCGTTATCCCAAAGTTGCATCGATTCCATATTAGGAAAAACCGAGACAGACGAATTAGGAAAGAGAAGAGACTGAGTATCTAGGGTGCTTCATTTGAGCCGCCGTAATCAGTGTCCAGAGTAACTTCCTCTTAATTTCGCGCATTGGTGAAGGAGGAGGTGTATATCTCTTTTTTGACTTACAATGAGAACCGACGAGGAGTACAAAGTGAAGAAAAGTTTGGTTTCAATGAATCTCTTGTTTCATAATTGTTGAACTTACTTCCATTTCGAGTTAAAGTGTTTGGTGAAGAGATTCGAAGACCAGAAGACCAAAGCACTTTAGACCTGATCAAATAGGCTAGATTTTAAGGATTTGCCAGCGAATTTTCTTGACTCGTTAGCTTTAACTTGGTTGTGATGATGATACCGTGCACCTAACATTTTCATAGCTTTATCTAAAATTAAATTATTTCGACATAGTGTCCAATAGTTGCAATGCTGAAAACTCCATCTCTGGATGGATCGAAACAACTTAACACAATTTTTTGTTTAGCTGTTCTTTTTTTGGTATTATTCTTTTTCATCTTTTGCTACTTGGGACTAGCCGTAACGAAGCCTCCTTATTTTATGGATCTCAGTGCCAGAATAAGGTTATACCAAAGAAGGGAATAAAAATCTTTCCAATCGCTTATCTGAAAGTTTTAATCCTCCCATTTTCTCAATATTAGCCGTAGTTTCTGGATTAGTTCGCAGAAAGGTAGACATATCCACTTTGGTGTGTATTTCTCCTTCCTTACCTTTCTTCTATAATCCCTTTCCGACCTCCGGCTTTTCACAGTCCGTATGTTTCCATGTATTACTTCTCTCAGGTATCCGTTGCTGAGCAACATACAAGTCAATCTGTTCAATCATAAATCTCAGAATTCCCCGTCAATTAATCGTAGGCTTCTGATGATCACGCTCCTCATTATTCCTACCTTTATCGTGCAGTTGTGAAAGGACTGGAAATGGAATATTATTCCAGCATATTACTCCTTTCTGAACAAGTTTCTCTTGAGTGTCCCTCTCGAGCGAATGATTTCCACATCGAAGAATGGTAACCACTCCTTCTTCTCTAGTTTCATTATGATTTTTATTCTTTCATCAATCCGGTTTATAGACATCAGAAAATCCTCTGATTTTTCTTTTCCAAAAGACCAAAATGCGAAGTACTTATCCGGCTACCGCATGAGAACTCGTGGTTGCACCGGTGACTTCCTGCAATCCTATACTTATTGTTTATGTATACTTTTTGGGGGAGGAGGGGAGACTTTTATTTGGTATGAAAGTGCATGATGCATAGATTCGAACGAAAACTGGCTGCAAGAATGAGTCCCAACTCTGCCAATTTGTATGCTACCCCATACGTGTTTTTGACAGTCTCTAATATCTGCAAGCATGGGAAACAGAGTCTAAGCGTTCTGCACAGTGGAGCAACAGTTTGCAAACTACTAAAGGCCTGAAAAATGGCGCCTTGATTAAAATGTATACCGGGACTGGAACCGAGTTAAATCATTCAGTGAGATACGAGACGAATCTCCTGCTCCATGAGGAATATTCGGATGGAAGGTCCTAGTCAGATCAGAATATCGAGAGAGGGGAACAAGATAAACAAGAAGGTATAATAACGCCTCACCAAATTCGCCAAAAAAGCACAACTTTTGAGGAGTGGAATATAAATAATTAAGATCTTGTGCTAAGGCGGGTGTGCGATAAGAGGGTAGAGAGTAGGTAGCTAGGCCAGAAAACAAACGCAACCAGTCGGTAGAAAGATAGTCAAGGGATTGAATTTATTGTGACGACTTGTAACTTGATGCTGAGAATGGCAAGATTCACTAACGATGCTGACTAAGATGCCGGAGAAACGTCAGGGAGTGTACTAAGTCCAAGGTCCAAAGCCAGGAATTACGACAACAACTATAGCAGAGAACCTCGGACAAGATGCGTCGAACTAAGTCGCCCTGACAACAAAACCAAGTTGCGGAAGCGAAGTCAAACTGCTTCTAGTCTTTTAGTTTAGAGCAAGGTTTTCGGGACTACATATCATATTTATTGGAGATTTACTCATCACATTTCGTTTAAGATGATGAAGGACTGGTAATTGAATTTTCCCACAATCATACGGGTAGGTCTTACGTTTCCATTAAGTTTAACATAGCCTTATTTCCAAAAGGTCTTTCCAACTAGGAGGTAGCTTATTTTGTTAACTATGGAAAATTTTAACTCAAGATTTATTGGGATTCTCCATGCATAACCATATAGAATTTATCTTAATATGCATTTAGTTTGAGTTTGTGTTGAAACTAGCAGTATATCTTAAATAAGAGCAGTATTCCTCCACGTAAGGGGATAAAGGATTGATAGTTGAATTTTCCTACATTGTTATGAAAGGCCTCAGATGTTATTCAATTAAATGATCTACTCACATATTTGTGGGAAATTTCAACTATCCGTCCCTCATCAATTTATGTGGCTTAGGAGGAATCCAGTTGTTAACATAACAGGGCCTGAGGAGAAACGTATTGCACTACTTATGTTCGAAATGAGTATGCTTAATAACTTAGACAGCCTAGGTCGCTTAAGCTGATTCAAGGACTAATAGTGGAGTTCTTCCTACAACAATATAATAATATTTAAAGATGGCATTACATTTCACTTAGCCATACTTCCGAAAAAGCCCTTTCTCCTGCCTGGACGACAGTTCCTACCTGGTCTGGGTCTCATTTGCACCCCTAACGGGATTCGATCCCGTGTTGATGAGACCTGTTTAAAATCTAGCCTGGGTATGAACATATTTTTGGAGGCAAAGCTGAATGAGGTACGTGGTCCCTCCTTATTTGATTTCGGGAAAAACTCCGTTATCGGTCTTTAAATCGCCTTAAGTGCCCTATGGGACTATGATCGTTGTCAAGAGTTACATCTGGCTCTAGAGCATACACTCGCCAACAATAGGGAATCCTGGTTAGGAGACGGCCATATTCATTTACAAGTTAAACTGAAGGATTACCTTGATCGTCTGAAGCAGCGAATTCCACTGTTCATCGTGTCTAGCCTTGCCTCCAAAGTGTCAATTCCACCATAGAAGAGCTGCAAAACCATGTCAAGTTGAAAGTGTAAAGGCAAACAGCCTCCATTTCTCATCTTGGTGACCATTTCCGAGCATATAAAAGTTAATTCAAGCATGCATTTATTTCATTGTTTCCTTTTTACTCTTTAACTGCAAACCGGCTGTAGGTGAAAATCAGCCAAGATAGCATTGCTAATATAAGAAAATGCATACATATCAGGTTTATTATTTCAACAAATATAATCAGCGTTCTTGGTAACATTATCATCATGAGCATCACCAGAGACAGCAACTGCAGAAGCAACTTTATCAATTTTCGTGATCAAATTGACGACTATAAGCCATCTAGGCAACATAATACATCTTCTGATAATGATATGTATATATGTGGACAGTATTGTATGTGTTTACTACAATTTTATAGAGCTTCAGCAAGTATAGGTAAACGCTTTCGAAAAGGGGATTATTAGATCGGTTTTTCGGTATAAGTAGGTCTCGAGACGCTCATAAATGCTTGAATAAGCACTTAGTTACCTTCAGTCTCGGAAGGTGATTACAGGACGAATAGTTGAATTTTTCCACAATCAGATAATTAACTCTCAGAGTGCCATTGAATTTCCCCCAGCCTTGCCTCCCAACGTGGCCATTGTCAACGATAGCAAGTTCGTAGCAATTTCGCCAACCTTATTCATATCGATTTCCATACCTCTTTATAGTGGTTTATACATACGTCGTTAAATATACTTTTGTGGAGCCTCAACATATGCTGGACGCGACCAGTGGAAGACAAAGGCTTTTACAAATCCCGCTGTGCGGAGGATAATTAGACCTGATTGTTGTCCTGCTGTGGGCGGCTATTCAGCTCGTGAAGATGGTTTAGTGAATCCTTATCAAAAGACAACATTCTGGGATTAAGGGCGTAACCAAATCCGGGCATAAAATGAACTGGAAAAACTGTGGCCGCAACTGGGCATGTAGGCGGTGGCCTTGTGAATCATACCTTCATAACGAGGCCTAGGACACTTGGCGTCTCAGGTAATGGATTGGTATTAGCGATGCACAAAAGGCCAGGATGGGCGAAAGAGAATTCAAGCCATGTCTCTCGATTCTCTATCAATACCGAGTAGCATAGACACATCTTGGTGAATCTGACTCACTGGTCAGAAGCGTTATACCGGACACGTAGTGATGAAGATGAGTCGAATAGAATGAATTGTCTGGTAAATTGATGTTTTTATATAATCCCAGTCTTAATTTAGCATGCCACCAAGCCTAGCTACATCGTTTTTCGTGTTGTCAGAGTGGCTTGTAAGAAGTTACGTCCTACTGTATCAGCGGCTTTATCGCCATGACCTTTTCCTTCAATTAAACACTGACCGGATGTATTTCAGCAATTTCTCCCGAGTCTCTTTTGGAACCGCCAGAGAAGACGTCAAAACGACAAATACAGTCAGTCTTCTTGACCAAATTCATGTTCTGGAGCTCTTCTTTTCTCATAGCTGTCTAGCTTCCTACCTCCCTTCCACTTCCTGTCGTCAAGTCTATTCCTCCTCCCCTTCCTCATTTGTCCCCACATTTGCTCCAACACACTCAAACTCCAATGGTTTAAGGCAACATGATCACCTTCCTCGCCTGGTTCCCAGCTTCCCTTCAGGGTACGTGCCAACATCTTTTGCCAGCTTATGCTTCACTACTCTCAACAGTCCGCGTCGTATCCAACCGGTCAGGTATATCCACTTGGTGTCAGCCATAGCACCCGCCATACCTGGTCAGCTATTCGCATGAGCGCCTCCGTCGATGCGACAACATGTGAACAATACCCTCTTCACAGAGGAGGACTTCAAACGCACAGCTCCTGTGTTTGCCGTCCTTTCAAGACTCTCTTTGTTGAGGATGAATAGTTCAGGGCATCTGGGACACCGAAATCTGGCTTACCTGCTATGCCGTAAGGGCTTAGTTACTAGTTGTTAATAGTTTCGAAGCCTACTCACACAGTGTATAAGTAGCGTAATCGATTTTAGCCTCCCACTCGAGACTATGAGGCCTGGCTTGCCTTGAAGATGACATCTGCCCTTAGATTCATTGGTATCTGTGGCCGTGTAGAAGAGTGGTAACGTGTCGTCAACCCAGTTCTGAATCCTGTTAGGGGTGCTGATGATGTCGATACTGCAGTCCCCCATGGATGAGAATAGCTTCTGGTAAGCAAGATCATGTTAAAGTAAATGGCACTTTGAGGCTTATGCATATCACTACGGGAAAATTGGGCTATCAGACCTTCATCAC